GGTGGCGCCGGACACAAATTCCATGTCAATATAATAGAATCATAACACTTACATGTATGGGTGTCATCTATGGTACATGCAGAATGCCGAAGCTGAAGAAAAAAGGGGAGCTGAACTCAGGTCCGTCCTCCCGTTTTATACGGACCGAGGTGAGGCCCACAGTAAGTGGGCGTGGACTATCGTCTCTTCAGAATGCGCGTACGCGCACGGGGGTACCCATCTGCGATAGCCTTAGAGGGCGGAGCTTACACGAAATAGAACATAAGTTACACTTGTTTGTGGGTATTCCTATAACAAGTGTCAGAGTAAATGGGATAAAACTCGCGTCCGACTTTCAGTCCATGTCACTCAGATTACTTATATAGAACAGTAAAAATGTCAGTCCTGATTTTACACAACCAAACAATTTTACTGGCACTTTTAGCTTAAGTTTTGGCAAATCAAAGAAATAAGAAAGAGGAGAAAAGTAATCTTAGTGTTCTACTACTTTTACTTTTATCAAAGTGTGAGTCAACCAGAACTGCACGTCTTTTCTCGACTCAGGTCCACTGTACATGTCACTCCGAACACATCAGCCTTTACCTGATGATGGCTTCTTAAGACACCCTCGAAGTAGAAAAAACTGGCTCGCCTCCGATAAGTCAGAGAACTGTTTTCGACTCGCTTACCGGTCATTAGCGAACAGGTGTTATTTTCAGGTAACTTTGTGTTTGCTTCAGTCCAAGCCAGAAAAATTCAAGCCGTATCTGGTTCCTCCTTCAAAATAAAACATCTCCCGATTGGGAGGTATAAAACACACTTAGAGGCTTGGAGCCTCTGGTTGGAACCACCGACAGGCGTGCCGGGTCCCTGGCTATGAAATCCTCCCTAATTAGCTCATAGGATCAGATTTTCAGCCAAAGCTGAGGTTTCTCCGGAGAGAATCAAAGCTGTCTTCCTAAGTTTGAATCAGGAAGAAAAGTGTGTTGCTCAAAGCTGTCCGGGTTAGTAATAAGAATGGACGACTTCGGTTCCACCCTCAGGCTTAGAGATGAGTCAGAGAAGAAAGATAGAGACTTGCCAGTCAGGCGCCAGTCAAGGTTAAGTTCTGTGGTTGTAAAACAACATCATGATAACCTCATTAGCTTCTTTCTGATAGACTCTAAAAGAAATCACTGCAAAACATTTATGATGATTAACTAACATTTATGTTTTATAATCAGCTTTGAACCATTCTTTTAGTCCAGATAAATGAAAGATTTTCTCAAGAAAAAAATCCACAATTATATTACTGTGTTCACAGTGAAATAAAACAGTGATTTACATAAAAACATAATGAAAAAGTAATCAGGTTCTCTGTGTT